TAGACTATGGCCGACTCTCTCAGCTCGTTCGAAGAGACCTAGCCACTCCGTTAAGTGCCATAGGGGGGAAATTCTCACAAGATTTAATAATCGTTTGCGCTGCAGGCTAATTAAGTCATGCTTCACAGGCCCAGTCTATACAGAAATGCAGTGATTTTTCCACACCAGATGGCCAAACTGAGTAGCCCCTCGGATAGCCCGCAGGTGATCACTTTTCACAACACCAATGCCTGTGAGCTAGATAGCCAAGGTCTCATAACGCCAACTTGAAAGTCGGATGATGGACTTGCAGGAATTGACGCCAGCAGGCATTTATCTCACAAAATGGCAACAAGCCTGGATGCTAGGATAACCCTTAATTTTCATGGGTATGCGGAATAACCTGCAGCTGCTTGTGTATAAATTACCCGTAACTGGCGCCGTCTCTGATGCTACGTTCAAGCAGGAGCCCTAATCGTCAGATGAATAAGGTTCTAGTTCCCGTGATCAAACCCGGTTCTTCTCAACTTCTTTTGGGCGTTCGCATTTTAGCTTATATCGGTAAAAAATGGCATGTCTCCTTTCAAATGAAGCCTCCCCGAGATCCTGAAAGTGAATTACGATAAACAAGATCATTACTACAGCAACACATATTCACACTTCGTCGTCGAACGCATAAACAACATTACCCACGTTCATTTGCAAGTTTTATTAATTAGCTTACAGAAATAGATTTTTTCTTCCATTTATCAGCTGTTAGATCACAGGACTCAGTTTTTCCTAACTATTTCCGCACGAGAAGTCAAAATCGCGAGGAATATTGCACAACTCACACATGGCACTTAAAAATGAAAGGGTTCCAAAACTGATTTAATTTTTTTTTAAACTGCACTGACTACTGAGATATGAAATAGCATGACAAGGAACGGTCCACAAGAGGTTCATGCTAATTTAATGTCCCCGGCTTCACTCTACAAATGTGAGTTCCCTTGAATAAACATATTATTGCCTGTCCCACAGTGCCAAATCTGATGCGGTGAAATCTATCTGGGTGGCCATAAAGCGGTAGCATGTAAGGCAGTGAAGTGGTGGGACAATTCGATCGTCATACAAGAATTAGTCCGCCTCTTAAAAAGTTACATCTTGGTCATCCCGGCATACCCAGAACCTGGGTCATTCCCTGGCTTCCATGAGAATCGGTTAATCTTGTGAGCATAAGATCGTGTGTGAGATAAGTAGACGAAAAGTGTATTCGGTCCTCCTGCGTTTTACATGTTATCCGGCCCAGTTGGATAGGGAGGAGAGAAGAGGAGAGATATCGCGCAGGACTGACATTACTACAAACGAAGTTTCGCATTAGACTTTCTTCCATGGCCATCATATCCTGAGGAAGACAGCGAATATGGTTATTTATGACAGTATAACTGTCATATGATATGCAGCACGAAGCGCTGAGCGCCAGAAAGTACTCTTTCGCTGGCACTCTCAGTTAATTCTGCCTAATAGGGCTGGTGAGAATACAGTTAGATCTTTTTGTATAAGAATGTGCATTTATAAGAAAACGTATGCGACAAAGGTCATCTGTGTGACAACACGGAGACAAAATACACGTCAAGGAGTCACCACATATTCTACCTGTCGCATTTTAAGTTTCGAATTAAGTATTTTTACCTTTAGTGGACTAGGCACAGGAGTCTTAGGAACCGCAAAAACTAACATACTTCTTTCTGTAGTTTTCAGATTTTTCCATTAAATCAAGACTGGTCAACCTTATCAAATGGCGAAGAAAAAGCTTACTTCCCAATGCAACTTCTTTGAAGATCCCAGCGTGAGTTATCTTTAAACAAAATAACGTAAGGATAAGTGAAACTCACGCGGAATAGTGCACAGTTTTCACATGCCCCCGGAGATGGAGAGATGGGGTTGATTACAAGAATTGAAGAAAATACCTGCACTACATAATTGAACAATACCGGGATGTAAAATAACAGGGCAAAGAAGGAGTCAACATAGTTTCCAGATATTGACGGTGGCCCGGCATAACTCTCTAATTGTGCTTCCGTGGGATAAACAGAGTTTACATTATGAAAGCTCTGCTGGGCACTCTTTTATAAGAGGTGAATTATATAGAACTAATATAGTATCCTATAGCCTACGTCGAGCTGAAGCGATAGAGGTATGTTGTCGATTTCTGCGCGAAGCACTCGTACGGAAATGCGAATTCTCTTAGGAGTAGAGAAGAGTATTTCTTGAATCTTATCGAAAAAGGATCGTCATCAGAGGAAACTGCAATTGTGAACAGTCACCCGGAAGATAATCTTTTGTCAGTTCTCCAGTCAAGGATGACGGTAACTTAAACTGAGCTTCTCAGTGTCTTTAAGAGAACATCCAGCAATGAGTGAGAGGGAATGCGGCGTGCTCGTAGGGACAGGAAATTTGTTCTTATCGTGCATTCGATGCATGCTTAAACCAATGCTCAAATATTGAATCAGACAAGGGCAACCTTATCTCTCTGCCTGCCGAAGAAAGAACGATTAGTGAT